CTCCCCTCCCCACAGCCTGCCCCTGCTCCCCCTCCCCCACAGCCTGCCCCTGCTCTTCCCCTCCCCCGCGGCTCAACAAAGGAAATGACCGATGACCAGGAGAGAGACATCCCTCCGACCTGACCCTCACGCATCCGCATCACATGAGGACTGCAGCGGCAGCGTAAATGCAATTGTTACACTCGTGTGCAACTGTCAGGTGCCGACTTAAGACATAAGAAAGGGCGCAAGCGCAGCACTGGCTGGGAGACTGCTGATCCCAGGGCTTCACCACTGAAGGGAAAACATTCGCTTCTCCAATGGACTCTTCAGCGGTTGAGTGATTTCTACGGTGTTGATTTTCTTCAGAATGAGTTACTACGTTCAGGCATCATCATCATATGTACTCCTGCCTGAACCATCACAGCAGGTCCGTTACTCTTGTCACACACACAGAAAATTCTAGAAGCCCTTGAGGTCATGTACATCAGGAAGAGAGGTGTCTCCCATCTCAAGTCTCCCCAGTGCAAGTCCAGGGTTTCCCTGAGCCCACCAAACCCATCTCTGCTCGGCAGAGGGGCGTCCAGCCTCCTCTTCCTGCCTCTCTTCCTTCTAGAACGTCCCCGGCAGCTCCCCAGGCTGCACAAGCACGCGGAAGCCGCCATCATGGCTGCCTTGAAAACACACGGAGACAGGCGCCGCGGCTCCCGCCGGCCAGCCCAGCTGCTCAGGGGCCGGAGGGGACACGGCCTCAAGCACGTACCTCGCTGGGACATCTCTGTCTCACCACTGACATCCGCTAGCCTGCTGCAAGGTAATGTCTGAGGAAGCAGCATGCAGTTGCACACACACAGAGCACAAGGTTACACTCCTGCCCAAAGGACATCGCTAACTATTCCACAACCACAAGCGAGCACAGTGAGAGAAAACTTCAGCACAGAAGACATTCCCTGTTCACCGAAGCGGGGAGACCAGCTGGGCTCACTGCTCACAGGAAACACACGGCTCACGTCACAACATGCGTGAAGAAGCCGTGATTCCTCACACGCTTCCCGATGGCTATCCATCTCACCATCATTTAACAACTGCAAAGGGTATGACTGTTCACATAATAGAAGCTGGTAAAGCTACACACAAACACTCAAAGATGTATTTTAGACTGCCAAATATTACAGCTTCACATGTTTTAAGAAGACACCAGCAGCTCTTAGCGAGTGAACACGTAGAGAGATAAACAAGCTAAGCCAGAGAATTACTTGACCAGGTGCTTGATTAAGATGTCCAGCATCTCTCTGTTCTTCTCGGGCAGTTTGTGTACCAAGGCGTGCACGGCCTCCACCCTGTAGTTCTGGTCGTCCGACTCTGTGGGGAAGAAAGGTTGCAGACGCTCACGTTTTAACTGCAGGCATCATAACCTCGTCTGCAAAGCCTTGCTTCACAGAGCGGCTGTCTCCATTCCCCGAGACACCAGAGCGCTCCCAGACTGTGTGAAGTCAGGGCTGAGGTACCCAGATGTCCCCAAGAAAACCTAACTGGCAACGGGAGGAAGACGAGATATAAACACACATGCACGCACACACACACACGCATACATACACACACGTACGCACACACGCACGCACGCACACACACACGCACACACACATACACAAACACATACACGCGCGCGCACACACACACGCACACGCACGCACACATGCACACACATGCACGCACACGCATGCGCACACACACGCGCGCGCACACATACGCACGCACACACACACACATACACACACGCACACACACATACACACGCACGAAAGAAAAAAAAGTCACTTCCCAACTTTGAGTCCGGGGACCCAGCTGTGGGTCCGTCCCTGCCAAGGAATTGTGACACTTCTAGGTCTTCAAATGTCTTCTTTTACACTAAGATGTATTTAAAAACAAAACCAAAAACAAATGAAGAACTGAATTTCGTTGAGGAACCTAGTTTGGCATATAGTAGCTAGTTCCCCCTTGAGTCACATAAAAGGTGAATTCCTGGACAGACAACGTATTCTAAATATCACTGTAATGAATAATGGGATTGCCATTTGCATCGGAACAACTGAAGAACCAAAGTTCGCATTGAAAAATCCCACTTGTTACAAAGCAAACTCTCTGCATAAAAGCGGGTATCAGTCACGACAGCAAACGACACTGGAATTTTTACTCTTCTTTCTCATCGCACCACAGTCTGGTTTTCATCAGACTCTGTCTTCCTAAGTGACAAAAACATTTAGTTTACTCTACGATCCGTATTGGCTAAGAAGCCCTGCTGCAGGCTACAACACAGACAGTGGTGTTGAGCAAGAGATGGAGCATCCACGCCAGCACACGGTGTCCACGCGCACCACAGCCTGCCCATGGCGGTCCACAGCCCATCCACAGCACCAAGCAGTGTCCACACACACCCCAGCCCCTTGACACCACCAAGCAGTGTCCACACATACCACAGCCCATCCACAGCACCAAGCAGTGTCCACACACACCCCAGCCCCTTGACACCACCAAGCAGTGTCCACACATACCACAGCCCATCCACAGCACCAAGCAGTGTCCACACACACCCCAGCCCCTTGACACCACCAAGCAGTGTCCACACATACCACAGCCCATCCACAGCACCAAGCAGTGTCCACACATACCACAGCCCACCCACAGCAGCCCACGGAGTTCACGCACACCCCAGCCCATCCACAGCAGCCCACGGTGTTCACGCACACCCCAGCCCACCCACAGCGGTCCACGGTGTTCACGCACACCCCAGCCCACCCACAGGGGCCCACGGTGTTCACGCACACCCAGCCCACCCACAGCAGCCCACGGTGTTCATGCACACCCCAGCCCACCCACAGCGGTCCACGGTGTTCATGCACACCCCAGCCCACCCACAGTGGCCCATGGTGTTCATGCATACCCCAGCCCACCCACAGCGGCCCACGGCGCGTGGTACTCACTGACGGCCAGGATGAAGTCCTGGTGCAGCTTGTACGTCATCAGCGGCTCAGCCAGGCACCTGCAGCAGAGACGGAAGGCGGCGTGCTGACGGAGGCGCCTCTCCACCCCTCCCCGCCAGTTCCAGAGCCTCTTTAGGAACTCAGAGATTCTCTCTGCTCAACTAGTGTCAGCGGGACACGGGGCGGGACAAGGAAGGACGGTTACAGCGCTGAGCGCAGACTTCACAGACCCCGGCCCCGCACGGCTGGCTCTCTGACTTCACAGGCCCCGGCCCCGCACGGCTGGCTCTCTGACTTCACAGGCCCCGCACGGCTGGCTCTCTGACTTCACAGACCCCGGCCCCACACGGCTGGCTCTCTCAGGAGGAGAGGCTAGGGATTACTTCATCCAGGACCAAAGCCAACCTCACATAGTTCAAAAAGGAAAAAAAAATGTATCTCAATTTGTTTAAAAAATACATTAAATATCCTCACAGGCTTAATATGAAACAAAAAATGATCCTTCAGAGCTGGGTGCTGGTGGCTTATTCCTGTAACCCCAGCAACGGTGGAGACCCATCGCAGGTAGAGGCCAGGATTTAGAGGCCAGGACATAGAGGCCATGCTGCTCAGGGAAGGTCGAGAGCCTTCTGGACACGTAGCCGGGTGCCGCAGGCACATTACAATCCAAGCTATGGCAGGAAGCCCGCACGAGGCGGCTGTGTGCCAGAAACCACCGCGGTGGACAGACAGACGCGGTCTCACAAGAACCAACCCAAAAACGGCTGGCGGAGCGGCCCCGCCGCAGCGCAGGCCCTGATTCACACTCCAGCACCGTGCTCTTCTGAACACATGAACTCAGTGCTCACAAGACGCGGCTGCCTTGGAAGGTGCTACTGAAAAATAACGTTTACCAGTTCCAGAACGCAAGATGAGCGCAGCGGGACTGTGTGTCCAGCCTGCCTGTGTGCACACAGCCCCCACGCGTGCACACAGCCTCCCTGTGCCCGGCCTGCCTGTGTGCACACAGCCTCCATGCACAGAGCCTCCCTGTGCCTGGCCTCCCCCCGGTGCACAGCCTCCCTGTGCCCGGCCTCCCTGTGCCCGGCCTCCCCCCAGTGCACACAGCCCCGGGAACACACCTGAGGTAGTTTTTCAGCCCACTCGTGATCGTCTTGTTGTCCCACAGTTCAACATCAATGTCAATATCTGGAGGGGATTTGGGAGCTGGAAAGAATAAAAGTATTTCAGCTGTGTAATTCAGAATGTGACTACCAACACCCAAGGTCGAGGGTCGGTCACTGTGCAGGACGCGGCAGCCGCCTGGCCGCGTGCGCTCACTGCATCCCGGCAAAATGCCCGGCGTGCGCCGCGTGATCGCAGGGCTCTGCATGGATTAAAACAGTCAATCCTCAGAAGTCTCAAGACACGGGGAAAGCTCACCCCCATGACAGAGGAGGCAGCTGAGATGTGGGGCAGTTGAGCGTGTCCAGGCTGAGCCGGGATGTGATGTGCGGGCATCCTGGTGTCACCTCGCCACAGGTGACCAAAGCCAGCCTGGAAGCCAAACCCAGCAGTGCCAGGATGCCGCTCGCGCTCTTATCGTTCCTCTATGACAGCTGAACCTCCAACCCCGGGCCTGAGGGCTGCAGAGGGCTCAGCGGCTGTACACGAGCCCATCTGTGAAGCCCCACCCAATAAACACACCGAGTTAAGATTAACTACGAATTTAAAATACACAGCGGGCAGCAGCCATGTGTGCACGAGAAGCCTGTGTTCCGGGCCACGTGTGGGACTGCATGTGTGCTGCACTTACAGAAGGTGGTGCTCAGGAGCTTCTGGACTTTGGAGTTGACTCCTCCAATGCGGTACAGGCCGAGGACGGTGATGCCTGAGGGGAGGGAAAAGCGTGTGCATGGCGTGAGCCCCACGCCGCCGGGCGGGAGGTGCGCGGCTCGGCAGACGCCCGCCACGCGCCACGCAGCACAAGAGCAGCCTGGCGGCTCCGCGGTGTGGCGGGTCCAGCCGGCCCGAGACGGCCCTGCACACGCACTTCCCAGAGCAGAGCCCGCACGGCGGTCGAGAGCCTCGGAGACCCTCCGCGCGTCGAGGGAAGCCCCCAGCTGCTACTCTACATAAACGGCATCGGGAAGGGAGGGACGAGGGTATTCCTCATCCCCGGTCTTCTGAGTCGGGGATGCCTGTGTGTTCCACACGCGTTTTTACAGGTGGGGAACGGACCCCGGCTTTCCCTGCTGAGAGGCTGGCGCCGGCCGCCCACTCACCTCGCGTCTCCACGGCTTGGATGCATTTCCTCACGAAGTTGAAGCCGGCTTCGTTCAGGTACACTGGAAGAGGGGGTGACCGTGAGCTGGGCGCCCGCAGGGAGTCGGGCCCCGAGCCGGCCTCCTCCCAGACGCGCTGCCTCCCTGACAGGAGGCGGACGGCTTCACTCCACGAAAAGAAAAACGGTTACCACGTCCTGGCCAGACGATCGACAACGGAAACGTTAGAATCAAAGAAGCTGCGTCACTCAGAAGAGGGTGAGTGTGTGGCGGTCCTTCAGAGGCACGAGCGCCGCCCCTCGCCTGAGATCCAACAACATCTAAACGCAGACTGCCCAACCAGGGTTCAGACTAGTCTAGAACAGGGTTCCAGACTGCTCTAGAACAGGCAACGCCAAGTGCTCACTGACGGGTTATTTCTTTGCACCAAGCTTGCTCAAGTTCCTCCCCCGACAGGTTCCTGCGGGTGAGCAGAGCCTGGCCCCAGCTCTCTCTCCCTCCTCAGAGGCGGCCGGAGGGAATCAGGACCCAACTACGCCCGGTTCCCAGGAACTGAAACCGTGCAACACCCACGGTGCTTTGGCCTCTGGGATAAAGCGGAGAACAGACCCAATACACTTCCTTGATTCCGTCAGACGTTAAGTCTAAGCATTCCTCCGCAGCCGTTCAGGGCTACAGCTTTTCTGAAACCCAAATGACGTTTCCATAGGCAGCGTAGCAGCACGAAAGCTATTCATCGTGGCAGAATTTGAAGAGCCGCGAGGAGAGGAAACTGCGTGGCCTTCCACAGTGCTCAAAAACCAGAGTCCTCTTCCTCCAGACCTGACCTGACCCCGGATGCACCGCACGCACCGCACGCGGCCGCACAGCGAGCGGCTTCCCCAGCGGCCAGCGTGGAGAGACGCCCGCCTTACCCGCGTCTCCTTCACCCCCTGCCTTGGCTTTTCAGATGAAAAGACACGGGCACCTCTGCGGGGCTCCAGAGGAGCTCTAAGTGCCTCTTCCTCACACTCCACACATTGCCCGGGGCCAGGGTGAAGGACAAGCTGAAAAGCCACCACACAAAAGCCACGTGTGATCAGGGACAAGGCTCAGGCCACCAACAGAGAATACTAGACAAAGGAAACAGGAGAGAGAGAAACTGCATTTTCCCTCGCAAACCGCCAGGCCCAGGATACGCATCTGAGACAGGAAAGGGCCATGCAGAAAGAGGATCTGTTTCCTGGCAAGGTGAGTTCAAATGGCAGAATCCCGAGGAATCTGGGTGATGTAGTTTTTAATAAAAATACCCCAGTGGCACAGCTTGAGGGTAGTTTAATGTGAACCTTAGTTGGCACCTGTTTAATACTGACAGTAAATCTTACCTCCCTCAAGATGAATCCACTTCCGAAGTCTTATGATTCTACAAAAAGGCCATTAACAGCCTATCTCACAATCAGAAAGGTATTTGTGGACAGAATATCCTGCAACTGGCCATTTCTTGGGGATTACTGCCAAAAAAAAAAAACCAAACCACCACCACCATCACCTCCAAAAAAACAACCAACCATCAACTGCCTCAGAGAGATAAAAGCCCGAGGAATGAAAATTAACTCTGATGTAAGTGACAGAGAAACGGTTTGATTATGAACCATTTCTTTGATTCAAGATTTCATGTTTTCAATTCCATCAGATGGAAGGTTTGTTAACATCTCACAAATAACCTCAGTGGTAAAATAATAAAACGTCAACGGTGGTTGGAGTGATTCTCTGGGCGCATATTGGGAAGGCAGCCTTCGGTCCCCCTCCCCGAGCCCACAGCGGCTGCTGGTGGACAGACGGCTAAAGGTCAGGAAGAATACTGCCCCATTTTCAGGGACGTAAAAAAAAAAATTACGTTAAGTGAAATGTCAGGCTCAGGGAGACAAAGGGCGTGTGTTTTTCTCTCCTGTGGAATTTAGATCTAAAATAGATAAAGATGTGAAAGGATACACAGGGCTGTACGCACCCGTGTGCACACGTGCACACACACACCAACTAAAGTATAGTGTGCACAGGGCTGTACGCACCCGTGTGCACACGTGCACACACACACCAACTAAAGTATAGTGTGCACAGGGTTGTACGCACCCGTGTGCACACGTGCATACACACACCAACTATAGTGTGCACAGGGCTGTACGCACCCGTGTGCACTCGTGCACACACACACCAACTAAAGTATAGTGTGCACAGGGCGGATTCAAATGGTTGTAACTCAGCTGAACAACTGCCGTACAGTTCAGTGAGGCCGGGCGAGGTGGAGGGAGAGGAGCAGACGCAGGGGAGAGGAAGGGTGGGCAGAGTCATCACACCACGTGCATATGTGGAAACAGAGCCCAGTGGCGGGGGCTGGGTGGGGTGAGGACGGGGGAGGGGGAAGGGGGCGGCGGGAGTGTGAAGATGCCCCGCGCGCTCACTGCAGACGTGTGACTTGAGAGCCCTTCATGCAGCCATTTGAAGATAATGCAAATAAACAATATACTACAGTAAAACGAATAAAAGGTTGTGAAGTGGGAAAATGACTTACTTTCTTCTTTCTTGCTAATGATGGCGGGCAGGGTGTAAATCTGAAAACAGAGGATGTGAATCAGTGGCTTGCGTTACCGTGCGCCGGGAAGGTGGGCAGATGCTGCTGCGACCTGCACCTGCCGTGGCCCGAGGCCAGGCCCCTTGCCCCGGCCCCCTCCCTCCCCTGCAGTCCCCGTCCATGAAAGGCTCTGGGCCTGGTCATCCGGCAGAGGCGCCCAGCCTGCGGCCAGCACCGTGCCTACCACTCCCCAGAGTCCTCACGGCGCCTCCCGGGTGGCTGCCTCCGGCTACCTGCTCAGTGCCTAATCTCACCCGGACTTTGCTGAGCTAACCAGCCGCCCCTCACCCGGCTCCAGCTCGGGCTTCTGGATATCGGTGGAGAAGTGAAAAGGCTTCACATTAAAAAAAAATAACAATAAATCACAGACTATTTTTGTTTTGCAAAATATAATGAAACTGAAATAGGAAACTATAAAGAAAAGCAGAGCCCGAGTTTTGTATCCTTAAATTCAACAGACATACAAGGGCTCCTCCGAGTGACAAATGAACTCAGAACCACCATTCCCTAAGACTCAAGGGGCACCATGGAGGGCCAGGGGGCCCCACCTAGGGCTGGGGGCCCCATCTGGGGCTGGGGGCACCATGGAGGGCCAGGGGACCCCACCAGGGGCTGGGGGCACCATGGAGGGCCAGGGAGCCCCACCCAGGGCTGGGAGCCCCACTAGGGGCTGGGGGCACCATGGAGGGCCAGGGAGCCCCACCAGGGCTGGGAGCCCCACCAGGGGCTGGGGGCACCGTCGAGGCCCAGGGAGCCCCACCAGGGCTGGGAGCCCCACCAGGGGCTGGGGGCACCGTCAAGGCCCAGGGAGCCCCACCCAGGGCTGGGAGCCAGCAGGCCCACCACAAGCAGTACCGTGGGTACCTGTGCCACCACACGGGTATTCTGCACAGGCTCCTGAACCTGGAAGGTTCTACAATGGCAGGGTGGTGCTCTCCTTCTGGTCCCAGTTAAAGGGATGGGCACCAGGGCCTCATGCCTGTAGCCTAGCTAGGTGGAAAAGGTTCCCAAGATGCTCGTCTCAACCAGTTTATAAAAAGCTGGGCATGACAGAGGCTCCTGCGGTCTGGCCACCTGGGAAGAGGAGGCAAGGGCAACTGGTCCAGGCCGGCCTGAGGATAAATACAAGATCCTATTTGAAAAGAGAAGCAAAAAGAGCCTGGGGCCATGGCCCAAGTGGGAGAGTGCCTGCCCCGCGAGCACAAGGCCCTGAGTTCAAACTCTAACACCCCCTCTTCCTCACAGAACCCTCGGGCACTGCAAGTTACCACACCACATCCAACGGAAATAACAGCTAAATGAGAAAATGCTTCACACGGAGAGTTCCACCAACAAGAGCTTTACCAGAGCAGTTTCTTAACAACCGGCCGGGCTGGAGGCTGTGCCGCCTGGAATGGTTCATCGGCATGTGCCAATCGCTCAATGCAGAAAACCACCCCGAGCGCAGCCAGAGCAAGACGGGGCTGTGGAGCGGATGCCATCTGCCCAGCCAGGCCGGAGACCCACACGGCAGCCCTCCCTCCACCCCGACACGGCCACCGTGCGCGGCCCACGAGCGACCGAACCCCAGGCTCCCCGCCCCCACCCATGTGCGGCTCTCACCGGCTCCTTCCCGTCCATGGCTTCCAGCCACAGCTTCCGGTTGGCTTCAGAGAAGGCCTGCAGCGTGATGACGCCATGCCTGCGGGCAGAGCGTGCCCAGCGTTAGGCCACCGAGCGGACACGCCACTACACGCTTACCAATCTCCAAACCTCCAAGAACAATCAAGGTAAAACGTGACCAGAAAGAAGGGCAGAGGACAAAGACACGGGGAGGGAAGAAAGGGCACAGAAAACAGACAGATCCTCAGAAAACAAGCGTGGACAGATGCACACACATTCACACACGCGGGACTTTAACTGTGATGACCACAGGTAGGAAACCCACGGAATGCTTTGGGTACAGGGCTGTCAGAAGGGCTACTTTTAAACTATTTTGTGTGATTCATTTCCTTTCTAAATAAGTATTTGTGGCCTGCCTACTTGAAAGAGGGAAACAGGCACATGGCTTTCAGACAGACTGGAAAACACGCACACGCTTCCCGTGTTGACATGTACACCCAGGAAAGGCAAACATATCTAAAGGCACAAAGTGAAAAAATGAGTCCAGACCTTTCCACGACTTCTATGTCAAAGCAGAACCGCTTGTCAATCGAGTCCGTCTTTCGGCGGATGCAGGACTTTAACTTGAACATCTCTGGGGAGCTGGTCACAAGGCCGTTCTGGAACAGGAAAGACAGTGTACCATCAACACCACACGTGAACCAACGCGTGCTCACAGATCGAGCCACACGCCCGGCTGCTGCCCCATAAACCTGCTCCGTCAGCTGCGAGAGCTACGCCAGGCCAACGCCCCCTCAGACCAACGTGCGCTGACCGGGGTGGGGTCACACACGGCCCGTCAGATGGCCAACGACGCCACTGAACACAAAGACCACAAGTCCCAAATAGCACAGCTTGCAGGAACTGAAATTCTGCAACAGGCTAGAAAGAGCACCCTGCCGCGCCTAATCGCCGTCCCCTAGAAGAAAGGACCAGTGTGAAAAGGCAGAGACAAGTCCTGGGACCCCAGGACGGGAGCCGAGCGTGGTGTGAGCGGTCTGTCCAGCGCTGGATGGGGAGCCGAGTGTGGTGTGAACGGTCTGTCCAGCGCTGGACGGGGAGCTGAGCGTGGTGTGAGCGTGTCTGTCCAGCGCTGGACGGGGAGCTGAGCGTGGTGTGAGCGTGTGTGTCCAGCGCTGGACAGTGGTGTGACCTAACCATCCTGGCTGTGCTGCACTGCTGACGTGGACGGCCACGCTGGCGTGTGAGGCACTGATGTGTGAGGCACTCTGACGTGGATGGCCACGCTGGTGTGTGAGGCACTCTGACGTGGACGGCCACGCTGGTGTGTGAGGCACTCTGACGTGGACGGCCACGCTGGTGTGGGAGGCACTATCGTGGATGGCCACGCTGGCGTGTGAGGCAGTGCTGACGTGGATGGCCACGCTGGCGTGTGAGGCACTCTGACGTGGACGGCCACGCTGGCGTGTGAGGCACTCTGACGTGGACGGCCACGCTGGCGTGTGAGGCACTGCTGACGTGGACGGCCACGCTGGCGTGTGAGGCACTGCTGATGTGGACGGCCACGCTGGCGTGTGAGGCACTGACGTGGACGGCCACGCTGGTGTGTGAGGCACTGCTGACGTGGACGGCCACGCTGGCGTGTGAGGCACTGACGTGGACGGCCACGCTGGCGTGTGAGGCACTGCTGACGTGGACGGCCACGCTGGCGTGTGAGGCACTGACGTGGACGGCCACGCTGGCGTGTGAGGCAGTGCTGACGTGGACGGCCACGCTGGCGTGTGAGGCAGTGCTGTCGTGGACGGCCACGCTGGCGTGTGAGGCACTCTGACGTGGACGGCCACGCTGGCGTGTGAGGCACTCTGACGTGGACGGCCACGCTGGCGTGTGAGGCACTCTGACGTGGACGGCCACGCTGGCGTGTGAGGCACTCTGACGTGGACGGCCACGCTGGCGTGTGAGGCACTCTGACGTGGACGGCCACGCTGGCGTGAGGCAGTGCTGACGTGGACGGCCACGCTGGCGTGTGAGGTGCTGCTGACGTGGACGGCCACGCTGGCGTGTGAGGCACTGACGTGGACGGCCACGCTGGCGTGTGAGGCACTGCTGACGTGGACGGCCACGCTGGCGTGTGAGGCACTCTGACGTGGACGGCCACGCTGGCGTGTGAGGCACTCTGACGTGGACGGCCACGCTGGCGTGAGGCAGTGCTGACGTGGACGGCCACGCTGGCGTGTGAGGTGCTGCTGACGTGGATGGCCACGCTGGCGTGTGAGGCACTGACGTGGACGGCCACGCTGGCGTGTGAGGCGCTGCTGACGTGGACGGCCACGCTGGCGTGTGAGGCACTCTGACGTGGACGGCCACGCTGGTGTGGGAGGCACTGACGTGGACGGCCATGCTGGCGTGTGAGGCACTCTGACGTGGACGGCCACGCTGGCGTGGGAGGCACTGACGTGGACGGCCACGCTGGCGTGTGAGGCACTGCTGACGTGGACAACCACGCTGGCGTGTGAGGCAGCGCTGACGTGGACGGCCACTCTGGCGTGTGAGGCACTCTGACGTGGACGGCCACGCTGGCGTGTGAGGCACTGACGTGGACGGCCACTCTGGCGTGTAAGGTGCTGCTGACGTGGACGGCCACGCTGGCGTGTGAGGCACTCTGACGTGGACGGCCACGCTGGCGTGTGAGGCACTGACGTGGACGGCCACGCTGGCGTGTGAGGCACTCTGACGTGGACGGCCACGCTGGCGTGTTAGGCACTGTCGTGGACAGCCACCTTGGCGTGTGAGGCACTGACGTGGACGGCCACGCTGGCGTGTGAGGTGCTGCTGACGTGGACGGCCACGCTGGCGTGTGAGGCACTGACGTGGATGGCATCCATGGTCATGCCAGTGTCCAGCTCCCCCTGGAGCAGCATCGTGTGGGATGGGACGGGACCTAGGCTCAGCCCAGCAGAGCTGCCCGGTGCATGTGAGATGCAGCCCATCTCGCCCAGCACTGCTTACTTAGGTCTTTGGTGGCGGAGCTCGTGGCCTTATTGACTGTTTACATCACTAACTCGGGCTGTCACAAAAGCAGAATTTCTAGCAAATGCCACTCTGCAGAGTGGAAACTAGCTGTGACGATGGTGGCGCTGAATACTTTTTGTACGTTCTCCGAGTTCTCTTTCAGTCTGAATTAAGACTGATGACCGCACAGCACAATACGCATCGCCTGGTCTGTCCCTAACGTCAACCAATTTCTGTGGACTTGGCCATGATCTAGACTACAAACCGGCTGAGTCATCCTCTAGGAATTTTGTGTCCCGATCTGTTAAAGCTGGATTGAGTTATCTATGGGATAATTATCTATGGGATAATTCTGTCTATCTATTGGAAGCTATAGGATAAATTCCAGCCCACGGACACTGAGGTCTCGGCTGGGCAATCTTATTTCCAAGTTCACTCATTAGGCATGTCCATATCTTAACTGTCAAAAGAACACTCCCTGTGCGGGGTCTGCCCAGGGACCCCCCCATCCCACTAAATCAGCCGCGTTAAGACGCATTCATGGACAAGTTAAAGGAAAACCAGGACCACGAAAATCACTCAGCTCACAAAGATCCAAGAAAATGTTTCTGAACTTTCCCATCTTCTTTTTGAGTTGCTGCTCCCAGGTTTGAACTTGGTGCCCTACGCGCTCACATGGCACTCTTGTTCATGGCTGATGCTCTATCACTTGAGCCACTCCTCCAGTTGATTAACTGGAGACTTTTCTCCGTGGTGGGCTCTGAGTTATGACCCTAGGTCTGAGCCTTCTGAGGGGCGAGGGTTACAGACGTGGCCACTGACGCCCGGTGGCTTTCAATTGTTAGGAATGTCTACTTGTCATTAGAGAAGTGCGAACATGGATGACTATTTTCTTTACCTGAGTAACAAGCTTTTTATTGTTACTACTTTACAAAAAGAATGAAACTCGAGACTCACCACTTTTCCGCCGGACTTCATTTCTGAAACACTCATGGTGAAGGTTTTGCTTCCCTTGTCATACATGCAGTAATGTTTGGTCCACGTGAAACCAAGCGGTCCTAATGGAAGGAGCAAACCCCTGGAGGTCAGCAAATGACAGGCTCTCACTTGTACATTAAGGCACAACCGGAGTGTCTCTACGGGCACGGGGGCGGGGGGGGGAGGGCAGGAGGACCCCACCCCTGGGCCAGCCCCCACCCCGGGGCCAGACCTGCTCCACGCCACACAGGAGCAGTGCCCGCAGACTTCTGCAGTGTGATTTAAAAGCAAGAAGCTGAAGCATCACGAAGGCACCTCCGAGCACAGTGTGCTGCGGAGCGAGCCTTCCAATTCTCTTTACTAACTGGTGCCCGGGCTGTCAAGTTTAACTTGCTTTGGTAATAAGCTGCTCTAGGCTGGGAAGTTATGGGGTGTGGCTGTACGCTCCACACTCACGAAGGATCACAGCTATTAGCTGTGATTCCGGGTGGGGACCACAATTCCCGTCAACGGGAATTTTTGTCCAGGACCAAGACCTGAACTCGGTATCTGATGCTCATCGCTCCCTGGGAGGCGCTCTACTCCGAGCCACGCCTCTGGCGAGGTGAGCTGGGCATCCTGGATGCACACTGTGTGGGCATCTCAGTGGGCCTGGTGCACGCACGGCTGAGCGGACGCAGCGATGCGGAGCCAGCAGTGTGCGACTGCGTCTGGCCTGGCCGGGCCGGGCAGTGAGGAGGTGCGGGGCGTGAGGGAAGCATCTCAAAACGCTCCTCTTTGTAGGCAGCCGGGGTGAGAGGGAGCACGGGGGTGATAAACCACAGGGCATTTCCGTCTTCCTCCACGAAGAACCTCTGCGAAGTCTCGGCGGCAGCAGAGACAGCCGGCTGTGGTGCTGGGAGAGAACAATCGGGACTCACGTTTCTCCTGGACGTAGAGGTAGCCTTCCATGGTCCACGGGCTGGGCGGTCTGTAGTCCCGGTTGGCCGATTTCATCCTCTGCATCAGCCGCTCCACCTCTTGTCGTGTGCTTTCGAAATTGTTCCTTGTCTTAAGTAAAGAGAAACAATGCACTCAGGCTGTGGGGTCGGGGGGTGGGGGGACTTCTGCACGGCCCCCGTCCCTTCCCCGAGCTCAGCGCCCGGGGCCTGCGGAGGAGCCCTGCAACCTCACCCCGCCCCTGGCCAGGATTTCCTGGCAAAAAAAAAAAAAAAAGACAAAGGAAACCAACTAAAATATGCCAAACTCATTAAACAGACACCAGAATTTCCCAAAGCAGACCTTTTTTTTTTTTTTTGAGGAGTAGCAACCTTAGTAGTTTTAACAAACATGGTGGCACCGTGTCAATCTAGAAGAAACTCTCTTCTCTTGTTCGCTGCCACCAGGTGTTCCACAGAGACATAGTTACACTAGGGTGTGGGTGTGAAAGTGAGCCACAGAATCACAGCTTTGCACACACTACCTTCTTTTGCAAGAAACAGCTCATCTGCTTATGTCAAGTCAAAGTTACAGAAAACGTCAAACTTTTCTCCATGAAAATCTCTCTTGTATTCAGACCACGTGATCTTCCTAATTCATGTCTAAAAACATAAAAATCATCACTATATAACTCTAAGATCTTTCTGTAGTCCACAATAAAAGAGCAGGTTAGGAGCCTGCCTGCCTGCCTTCCTTCCTTCCTTCTTTCCCTCCCACCTTACCTTCTTCCCTTCCTATTTTTCTTTCTTATGGACACAAGGATTCAATGGTCCCCCAATTCCTCCCTCTTTTCCTGTTCCTGCATCCCAGGGATCTTAATGTAATTGTGTTTAATACAGAAATGAACTATAAAATACCTTGGCGTTTACAGTTTTCCTTTTTAATATTTACTAGAAAATCCTAAATGTGTTCCGTGTTGGAAAACAATGGAAATGAATTAAAGGTGAAATCAGTTCTGCTCCAAGTTAACTAAATGCTAAACTCAAAACCCAAGAAGAATAAATCCAATTATGTATTTCTCATGGGACATTCAAACTGCATTTTACGGAACATCTCTGCAATAATAAGAATCAGATGGCGGTGGCGCTGTGGCTCAAGTGGTAGAGCGCTGGCCTCGAGCTGAAGAGCTGAGGGACAGCACCCAGGCCCAGAGTTCAGGCCCCACAACTGACCAAAAAAAAAAAAAAGAATCAAGCAAAGAAATACAAGCTTTTTACAAAAACAAAACCCGAGTGCTGAGGTCGCTGCAGCAGACATGGGGGGTGGCTAACGCAGCATCTGCACCACCAGCGCCTCATGCTTGGCCCGTCGCGGTGATGCAGAAATGGGTCGGCTACAACGGCTTTGCTGCTGCTTCGCTGTTCTGTGATGCCAGGGGGCCCTTGAAGGTTGGCAAGTGTGCCGCTCTGCGGTCCAATGTGTTTAGGGTCAGCCGGCATCTTTTTCCAGCATTGATGCGTAAATGACAAACCAAAGCTGTACGTGTTTAAGGCGCAGGTGCTCTCTTTAGGGACACACACACTGGGAGGTCACAATCAAGTTGACCTCACCGCGGGCACCATTTTTACTTGCCTACGGGTGAGCACACTGAAGTTACTTCTCACCGGCACGCTTCAAGTATGGAAGAGAGCACTATCAGGTATGTTGTCTCCACTGACGTGGCCTCCAGAACTCGCTCCTCCTCCCTTTCAGATAAATTAATAAGCGCAAAATGCTCCCAAATCCCCAGCGTCTACACCGAACTAAGCTTGACTTTATGCCGTGTGTGTGCCGGGCCTGGGGCCTGAAGCCAGGGCCTGGGCACTGTCCCTGAGCCTTTCTGCTCAAGGCCAGCACTCTACCACCTGAACCACAGCTTTACTTCCAGCTGTTTTGGTGTTAACTGGAAATGAGAGTTTCATGAACTTTCCATTGGCCTCACATCTCAGCCTCTTGAACAGCTAGGATTACAGGCGTGAGCCACCAGTGAGCGCCTGGCTCTAAGATTTACTTTTATAAAAGGTACAGCTGTATGACATTTTCCCACAGTGCGGTCTGTCCTTTCCGGGCGTGCAGGCAGCGAGTGGCTACGGAGCCCTCTGTGATGATGGGCATGCCTGAGGCCCGCTGCACTCAGACAAGGCTTAAAGGCCCCAGGGTCGCACGGGGGCCACAGGCCTCGCTCGGTCTGGAGGGCAGAGAAAACAAGCATGCTCTTACATTCTGCAAGTTGAACTGCAGCTGCTGCTTGTACGGGGCGAATTCCTGGGCGAGCTCGTAGCCCTCATGGTAGAAGGTGAACAAGCCCTGCAGGAATGACAAGAGCTGCAAAGACAGAAGAGAGTTCTTTAAACACAAAGTCTGGTTTTTAAAGGAGTGTCAAATGCAGAATACCCTGGAATTATATTTCATCCTAATATTAATCAATTTCAACCTGTTTGGCGAGGCTGGAGAGAGAATTACGGACAGAATAATTTTGACTTCCTTTTTGGCAGAGTGAGTTAACTTTTTAGGCTGACTGCTAACAGTTGTCATGCTAACTTGTGCCTCTCATTGCCACAGATTCCAAGAAAACAAGAGGCCACAGGGCAGGAGAAACGGGCTCTTTGGAGGTTCATTCGAGGTAAGAATCCCATGGACGTTTCCTGCTTGGGCTGGCTTCAGATAGTCATTCTCAAATCTCGGCCTCCCGAGTAGTTAGGATTACAGGTGTGAGCCGAGGTCTGCCTGGCGTTTTGATCGGTGAGGACAGCCAGACTGGCTTCCCACGGAATTACGGCACTTGGATGTTTACGTGAAGTGAGTCATAGCCAAAAAATAACTGTTTGAAGATGTTTACATTCACTTCCCTGAGATTTTATGCCACTCACTCCATCTCTTCCCGCTGCGAATGAAGGAAATGTTTTGGGAAACGGGCCTCTGATAGGTCTGCAACTTATTGTTTTAAACTAAGGAAGCAGCGCAGGTTGAAATAATTTTCGGAGGCGGGCAGCATCCCGCCGCGCCCTCCGTCCGGGCAGACAACAACTGATCCGAGGATTCGTGTTCCCACAGCTAAACACTGACTGCTGGAAGACATGCCTAAGGCTTCCTTTCGTGAACAGCCCCGTGTCGCCTCGTATCACACTCACTGCTAAAAACCTACTATGCGCAAATTATTTTCTTACAGGTTTTTTGCCCTAACAGTTCCTCATTTTATGGCAAGATGTACTATTTGCCAGCTCTGGACTGATTTTATACTCGGTTTTTGCATCTACTGGTGATTACTGTTGAAACTAAGTATTCCATAGATTGTTCTAACCAGCTGTGGTGGCCCGTGCCTGTGATTTCTGACACCCTGGAGGTGCAGACAGGAGAGTCAGGTGTCAGGTCAGGGAAGCTCCCACCTCTTTTCTTTGTTCCCCGTCTCTGGGTGCAGCTTTTGAGAAGCTGTGACAGTCAGTGCTGCTGGCGTGACTGACACAGGGTGGCAGCAAAGTTGAGCTGATTTGAGGTTTGACTCTGTCCGTGTGCCTCTCATTCCGGTAACTTCCATGAGGTTAAACCAAACGGAAGCTCCCACTAGGAGAGCCTGGAAAACTTTAAGAACTGTATTTCCCACGTCGCCTCCGGTGCAGGCACTATGCTGTCTTCCCCTGAAGAGGCTCGACCTTTACGACCACGGACGATACAAACCACCGGGCCATTCGCCCTGAGACCCACAGACTCCACATCGCCGTGAAAATAACCCCAGATGGCGGCCTCCCATTTGCAGACCAAATTACTGTTTGTAACTCGAAGAACCTGAGGAGTCTGAGTAGACGCCGCCCCTGTGAGCCTTCAGACCCCTGAGAGGCGGGCAGAGGACACTCATTTCCTGGCCCGTGACTCCCCAGACACGCTGCTGGAGGGGACACAGCTGTGTCATCCCCACAGGCTTCCACGCTTCGGGCTGTGAGGGTCCGCGGTTCCCGGGAAAGAGCGAGTGAGGCAGGGCTGAGTGGAGGGAGCGAGGCTGCAGACAGACGGGGCCGTGTGGCAGCCCCCGAGGCTGCAGACAGACCGGGCCGTGTGGCAGCCCCCGAGGCTGCAGACAGACCGGGCCGTGTGGCAGCCCCCGAGGCTGCAGACAGACCGGGCCGTGTGGCAGCCCCCACAGCTTCTGCCCAACGCCAGCAAAAGTGCCAGAACACACGCTCACACCGACAAGGCCCCGCCCCCACGCCCGCGTGGTGATCGTGACTCGTCAGTCTGTGAAAACCCAAGAGCAGTAGGATGCGCTGCATCGCACGGCCCCAGCACCGACGCCACGGCCGCACAGTGGGGGCCCCCAGCCGCCCATCTGAGCGCCTCCCTTCAAGACCCGACCCTCGTTGGAGGAAGGCAGCGGCACAGAGGGACAGACGAGGTCACAGCAGCCTCTGTGCGGAGCCCGCGCCCCGTGAACACAGCCCCCTGCGGCTCCCATGCCGACCGCCACGCACACGCCCACCAAGGCTGCAGGACTCACAGACCCCCACCCCGCAACAGTGCACACATGGCACGGGAGAGCCCGGAAATGGAAAGGAGGCTTCTTAGCTTTAAAGAGCATCCAAGTCTTAGCAACTCATGTAACAAAAGAATTACAGGCTGGGCGCCCATGGCTCACGCCCCTCATCCTAGCTACTGAGGAGGCTGAGATCTGAGGATCTCGGTTCAAAGCCAGCCAGGGTGGGAAAGTCCATGAGACTCTTATCTCCAATAAACCACCAGAAAATGGGAAGTGGCTCTGTGGCTCAAGCAGCAGAGCACTCCCCTTGAGCTGAGGAGCTCAGGGAGGGGAGGGTGTGGAGTGGGAGAGTGTAGATGGGAGGGTGTGGAGGGGGAGGGTGTGGAGGGACAGGGTGTGGAGGGGGAGGG